TTGCGCGCACTGTTGGAGTGCACTTCGTTGAGTAAACTGCTGTGTTTTTCAGCATTCATGACGACGTTTAATCGTTCAGCGCTCAATCGATGGTTTGTTCGTTTCTCGAATTTTGTCATAGTTTTGATTAATTGGTAACTGGGCATCATGTTGTCCAATTCGGTCTGTAATCATACTCGTTATTAACAAATCGGACTCCCGCTTCGCGGTCGTCCGATTTTGTTAATCACTCGTATGATTATAGACCGAATTGGACTCCACTCAGTCCTATTACCATTATAAATCTACTAGCGTTCTATCACGAATGCTGTTCTCTGATTGGCTACGCTACTCACTATCTATTCTGTGATAGATAGCGAGTAGCGTAACAGTGTGCCCTAGTCAACAAAATGACGGCCACCTCTTTTCGTTTTCGATGTGTCTGTGAGGAGGAACGACTAGTAAATTTATATTAAAACAATTAGATTATTCGCTCTCGATTTCTATGCGCGATATTTGACTCGGGCTGCGCCCTCGTCAACTATCACGCGATCGAAATCTCGAGCTCGTAATCTAATTGTTTAATAGAAGCACGATTTTTCACCAATCACCGCGCATGTTTTCTTTGAACTGCTTTCTAATATATTTTATACCATGCCATGGAAAATACAGCCAATCAGAATACAGGAAAGCCGTTGTATACTCGACGGTATTACTGCCTTGCCGTCGTGCGCTGCATTGAATGTGTTGGCCACTGCATTTTTAAGGCAAGGTATAAAATAGTTATGCAACACTTTCTCATGGTAAACCATGGAATATCCTACTTGCCACTTGTATTTTTTTGTTATATACACACTCGCCTAAAGGCTCGTGTGGGCAGTGTCACTGGAGTGACAGTTTTGTTCGTCGAAGTTCAGGAAGGGTGATGGAATCTTAATTATGAGATATATTTTCGTCGATTTCTCAAGCCAACAGTAAATTTTGCAGACCTCACATCCTGGATGATCTGCACAAAACGCATCATTTCTAATTTGACGGTTACATCTTTATGTTTCAAATTAATACTGTTTAATTCTCAATTCTCATCTAGGCCCTCAGTAATCTAACGGTTGTCATGGGAACTCCGATCCTTCGTCTGTAATTCATTCAAAAGTCATTTACAATTTATGGTTTATGGTACCTATTTTTCAATTTGCAACACAAAAGTGCCAAAAAATAAAGAAACTGGTTAATACATGTAATGGCTTAATGATGAAACAAGGGTGAGCGGTTTCTAAGTTTGTAATTTGAGGTTAATAATTAACGGGGTCTGACATTTGCAGACGTGCAAATCATGTTACAGAAAAAATACCCCATAAAACCTAACGAAAACAAACCTTAACGCCAAAAACCAAGCTTAACCCTTTCACTATTACCCTACGACTAACCCTATTTCTAAAATTAAAACCAATCCTTGAGCTATGCCGGAAACCAGACTTGAAGTCTGAAGCGCGGCAGTGTGCAACAGCTGTCACACACCAGTTGTTTTAAAATTGTTTTTAACCAGTGAACTAAAGTGTTAAATTAAGCTTAGTTCGGTCTAGAGAGCCCTGAAGTCTGCAAATGCCACACATCAGTTACCAAACCATTATGGGCAAATAGTTCAGTATTCAATATTGTTTTTAATTTTTCCTGTTTTTCTGATACTTTTGCGATGTTTTTCTCATCTTCCTCACCTGCAAAATTATTCTCTCACTGAAAAAATAAACAACTATATCTAACGTACAGATGTCGGGATTAGTTCTTCATAGCCAGCCTTTTCTAATTTATTTTTCTTATGGTTACGATAAATGTGCATTTAAAGAAAGAAATTAAGATTTCTTCATATATACCTCGGTATTCACAGTGAGTCCCACAGAATCCCAGTTTACAGTGGCAGCGATAGGGATTCACTTCACATTCAGGAACACAATCGGCACCGTTCTTACAAGGATCGCTTTTACATGGCGACTGAAAAATAAATATCTAATAAGAACACATTACGATCTAATAAACGCTACAGATCGTAAAATAATGGAAGTGAAAAGATACAAAAAGTGCTTTACGCAAGGCCATCATAGTCTGTGCTATAGCAAAAAAAAAATGTTAACTGCCTACGTAAGGTGTTTGCGTGTTTGAATAGAAAATTCAGTATTGGGATAAAAAGGCAATTCGATTTTCCTTAATTTCTAACCACGGTGTTTAATTTTTTTTCCTAATCAAAGTTATACAGTATCAATATAAACAGCGTTTTCACATGACGGCACGGCAGATTGGTTCCAAAAACATGAAACGATGGCCATGTTGGTGTACGAAACCAATCCTATGGGCGTTGAACTCTTCTCTTATATATTTTCTTACCTCACTTTCTTATATATTGCAATAAATACTCTATTCTAAGAAAGAAATTTTATAAAAAAATTGGAACATATCATTCCGACTTTTAAACTGTTATCTTCGTTACAAGCCATTGGCAAACTTATGACTTTTTCAAATCATTATATTAATATTCAACTGGCAAAATTTATTTCATCTTGCTTTGATTTAATTAAGCAATAGACCACAAGTTTTTATGGTTTATAGGCTGATAAACCACGCGGGATGTTGGAAGAACACGAGAAGAATTCGTAAATCACGAGGCGCAGGCGAGTGATTTACGAATTCTGCGAGTGTTCTTCCAACATCCCAGGTGGTTTATCAGCCTATAAACCATAAAAACATGTGGTCTATTGCTTTTATACAATAATTCAGAAGACACGCAAAATTTCCATGAGTTTCCTGGCACAATAAACCATAGCTGATTGACCAATCAGAGCGCGCATTCATTTGATTATTATATAACTGCGCAATATTCTACTTTCAAATCAAACCAATGTAACTTGATTGCTATATCATAACATTATTATATAATCACGATAATCGTTACTGCTTTAGTTTTAGTTTTAGTTTACAAAAGCTTTTGCAATACTGTATGTATTTATAGATGTGCAAATAAAGCTAGTTGTTGTTGTTGTTGCTTATGTAAACATTTTCTTTTGTTCCAATAAATTTGCATGTGTGCTGGCCATGTGAGTGAAAACGGCCTATCCCTAATTTCGTATTTCGGTACGAATTTGCCAAAAAAAAAACCTGTCTAGCTACTAGATCATTTGAAAATTAGGCTAGACTGTTCACAACCCTTTTTTTTTTTCTATTTTTTTTTTTCTTAATTATTCGATCGTTGAACGGGCGGATAGAGTCGCGAGAGAACTGGACGGCAGCTCACTGAATTGGAGCAGTTAACGGGCTAGGGGGTGGGTACTGAGAAAAAGTTTTCGTTTGGCTGGCTTCGCTTGCCTCTCTGTTCGCATGCTTTCCCAGGCCAGAAAAGCCCTATTATCACAGACTTAGCAATCTACTTGTTTCAAGCCTAACATTTTTCTTTAGAAATTAAGAAAGTACGTGTTGACATGGTAAGACAAAAAGAATCGTAAAAACATTATCACGAGAGAAAAGACAACATTTATTTGTACTGTTATTTACAAGATTAATATGTAATAAATGAATTAAAAACCAGTACGCACAAGTCAGGTAAAATTATCTTAATAGAAATCCACTGAAGAAGTTGAGTCACTATTACTATGAATTGAGATTAATCGTGATCCATGCAGACATTTCATATGTGCTCTCTTAAAATCAATCGTCAGCTGCATTGGTAAACCTGAGGAATTTACAAAGTATCTTTATTCAACATCACACAAAATATCAAAAGATTATAAACGCTTCTTCGTCGGTACTTATAGCTCTATATAGATATGAGCTAGACTGCTGGCAGTCGGTTTTTTCTCTAACATGGGTCACTTACACGAGTGTTAAGCCATCCTGAACGCAAAAGGGCGGTATGGCCGCTAGCTGGTTCACTCTCTATTACCATATTTTAATTCTTTAACTCTTGGCATGCGAACACTCACTATGGATATCTGGGTCCAAAATTGTGGAACAGAATCCTCAGCAAATTAAGGTTGGCTACCAGTATTAATGTTTTTAAAACGAACATACGTATGATAAATCTGAAAAGAGGGATGCCGAAGCTGCAATCTATTCAACAACTAATTAATTAGGTTTTTGTACATGCTTTTATGGTAACTGACGAAACTAATGTAATAAACATACGTATAGGTAAAGGTAAAGTCTGCCACGAGCCAATTGGCCCATCAGGCTGTAGTCTATCCTGGTTTCTTATGCATGAAGCGATGGATTGGATGCTAGTCCGTCCCAGGGTTACCCCCAGCATTAAGATCATCGGTACCCATGCATTTATACAAATGGATGGAGAGAGGCACTGTGAGAGTAAAGTGTCTTACCCAAGAACACAGTCAGGGCTCGAACCCGGACCGCTCGATCCGGAGACGAGCGCACTAACCATGAGGCCACCGCGCCTTCCAAAACATACATATACGATCTGGCTAAAATTACACAGAGTAATAACTGAAGCCTTTCTAAACTGGTAGTCTAAATAAATATGTCTGATGAGCCAAAGCGTTTAGTTTTCCATATCTTACAATGAAAAATTAGACCAAAAAGTGCTTTAGTCAGATAATACGTCCTAAAGTTATAACTTACGCAGTATTGATATGAAGGTGTATTAATTGCAGTTGTACATGTATACTTCTGTAACGAAATTTTTAGGGCAACTACTCAACTACAAGAAAATATCACATATATAGCACAGCGAGTTGTTTCCGTGAATTTGAGAAAGTTTGAATAACACACTAAAGTACCAAAATGGAAAAAGAAAGAAATAAACATAAAAGAAAACAAAACAAAAAACTGGTACGGCTTTATCATAAACAATTATTGGATGAGGTTTTTGTGATATCCAGAATAATTAAGGTCGAGATAGGGGTTATCAGCCGAAGCCGAAGGATGAGGCTGATAACCCTTACAGAGACCTTGATTATTCTGGATATCACAAAACCGAATCTAATAATTGTTTTATTATACATTGAACGAAAAAAAATGGAAGTCATGTTTTTGCTTCTTCACTGACGCCAAGCAACACAAAGCGCGCGAACTTGACGTGATTACGTCAAGATGTGGTTTATTGATAACTGAGAGCTCCTCTCAATTTTAGCCTGTGGCCGAGATTGGAGTTCGGCAAAATTGACTTACATCTGAGATGTGAGCTGAAGTTTAATTAATAGCTGAGATGACGTCACAGGCGCTGATTTCGAAAATTCACTCTACGCTTTCGACCAACCAGAAAAGAGATAGCGAGTTCAATGTATAATAATTAAAGTAATTGGATGTGCCCTGTTACTGCTTGTTCGTTGAATAAACTTCTATGCAAGGAGCAAATTCTAAACTTCTAAACCTGGGCGGATTACCACTTTAAGCGTATGGCTCGATGACAATGTCACAATTTTTTCAATTTTCAATGTCACAAGTACACTCTGAGCAAACAATGTTCGCGAGTACTACAGAAACCAGTTACAAAGCCGCCGCGTGGATCTTAGATCTCTCCATAACACCTCAACCTTCCAAGCGTGTGATATCCTTTCTCGAACGACTCGCCAGTGTCTCCAAACCTTAACTGCATTACCGGAAGCTCGGACTTGTTTGTGAGTAAACCACTGTCCTCTCTCCAGACACGATCATTTTTGTCGCAATTGCATCCGTAGCTAGCGTCTGCACACGAGTTATTTAAGCCACATGCGCATTTATATGGAACTGAATCGACCCCACCCCAGTACGTCATTTTCCTTCCGTCACGTGACACCCACCAGCCATTCATGCTCCCATTAAAAAGGAGTATTGTGTGGTGACACTCGTACTTGATAAACTGCTCACAAGATGCCGATGAAGCTGTCAGACGTTCCAGTTGAAGTTGATCCGCCTCTGTGTATGTGACATTACGCAGATAACTACCTCGCTCTTCGAAGCCATTTACTAGCGTTCTGTTTTCACTGTCGTGACTGATGACTGTCACGCCAACTTTGTTCTTGTCAGTCATGTCACAGCCAACAGTGAAAGCTGTCACGCCTCCTTCTCCATCAGGATCGATGACGTAGGAACCACTTGGAGCCTTAGGATTGCAGAGTTTGATATCACTACAGGTTTTATTTCCTGCGAAACAATTAAAATTATAGAATCAAACCTCAAATGATGGAAACCAATTTGCGCATGTCCGTTTGTGAGGTTTTTTTTGGCTGCTCTATCCAAAATATCAATTTACGATAGAAGCCATTTTGAAACGCTTAGAAACAGCTTAAAGGCTGAGCAACAACTAAATAAACTATTCTTTTGATTTATAATTTGTTATTATTAGCCTGAATTGTAGTGAATCATGTAGTTTTTAAATTAATTTAGAATTATGGTTTTCTAAAGGGCCACGGGCAATTACTGGAGTATGGCGCTATATAAATAAATAAATAAATAAATAAATAAATAAATATACATTTATACAGCGCCATTTTCCACTAATTGTCCATGGCGCTTTACAATACTTTAAAATTAAAATCCTAAGTTTAAAATCCTAAAATTAAAATCTTAACCCTTTAAAAACCCAAAATCCTAAATCCTAAGAGTTAAAATCCTAAGAATTAAATACGCTATGTAATACAATTAGGCTACAAATAAAAAGTAAAAACTACAAGTCAAATGCACGCTTAAAAAGATAAGTCTTAAGATTAGCCTTAAAAACTGCCTCTGATGATGAAAGTTTGATCTGGAGGGGTAGTTTGTTCCAGAGCCTTGGTGCCGCCTGTTCACTTACGCAAAGGGACCTACTGTAGTTACACAAAACTAGAAATAGCCGAAAACCATCTTGAATTATTGATTCTTGAATAAAATGCAATTACTAATGTTTTGCAAATGCTCTGGTTTGCTTATACCTCCAAGTTCACAGTTTGTTCCACAGAATCCCAGCTTACAGTGACAGCGATACGAATTCAACTCATATTCAGGGACACAGTCAGCACCGTTCTTGCAAGGATCGCTTTTACATGGAGACTGAAGTTAAAAAAAAGGACGAAAAGATTATCAAAAAGCTCTACATTTAGAGTACCTAGATGAGGTTTATTGATAACTGAGAGCTCCTCTCAATTTTAGCCTGTGGCCGAGATTTGAGTTCGGCAAAATTGACTTACATCTGAGATGTGGGCTGAAGTTTAATTAATAGCTGAGAAATCGTGCAAAATTTAAGTGATTTCTGGGACTGCAACATCCCTCAATCCAGACCCGCTATTTATTATGAAGCTTCAAGACTGGAACTTACTAAAGAGGGCAAAATAAATAATATGTATCTTACCGAGAGGCTGTAATGATGGAAGGTAGCATTAGCATGAAACTTTTTAGTTTCTCTGTACTTATCAGTGGCCAACAACTCACAGAGATAAAGACCTTTCGAGTCAGGATGCGCCGCCATGTTGAACGAATAACACTTTGGTTCAGCAGCACAAAGGAAAGTGCAATCAAACTGATCTTCCACCATGGACGATGTTACTTTCTTCACCCATAAGTAGTGGAATGGATTAGGCTTAAAATCGGCAACAGAAAAGTCGCCTGTTGGATTTCGATAAAGAGCACTACTTTCTGTAGCTAACATTATAGTTATTTGAGAAGAAATAAGGAAAATGAGCAGACATGAACGGTGCTTCATGGTGTGGCGACTCCTGCACGAAGATAATAAATTTAATTTTTTAAATTACTTATAAATATGTCTTAAGGTGTCAGTCATTGGGTTGTTTGTTTGCATGGTATATGGCATGGTCAGTTGCTACCTGCAACAGTAGATTGGCTGGATGCCAAGCTAATTATTAAGATGATTTTCGCAGAACATTCGAGCAATAATGGCAAAAATTAAGTTACCAAAAAAAAAACCTCATAGCATGGTAATGTTTTCAATTTAAAGTAAGAAGAACTTATCGAGGCTTAAGCTCTCAATTTGACACCGCAAGAGAAAATTGAACTTGAAGTTAGCCGTATGCTTTTGAAAAACACAATAACACACGCATTAAGCATTGTTACTAGGTCTGACATGCATCAACTTTTTCAAGAACGCTCGAGAATTTAATCGCGTGGCCACTTAGAGAAATCAACTAAAGTGAGATGTTTTAAATGGTATTCAGAAAGTTATACCGTGCCGTGAGATGTTTTAGGTGAGATGTTTTAAATAGTATTCAGAAAGTTACCGTGCGGACTTTGATCGGCATCTGTCTTAAATGGCGCAATTTCCACAGTCATTTAATATTCTGATCTGTCTGACATAAGCAAACTAATAGCATAATGTTTTGTTCAGAGAAAGCGGTTCTCCCCTATATTTTAACATCGAAGGACAAAATCTTGCGCATGAAATAAAACAGCATGGAAAAACAAAACAGAACTCCAAAATGCTGAGGAGTCGAAAATTATGTAATATTAGTATATTTTGCTTAACTATATCGCAGAATTTACCAGAGTACCAAATTACCTCAACATGTTTTAAACATGACAAAACAATAAATGTGCATTTTAATAAAAGACTTAAAAGCATATGTGAGTGCAATAGCTGTAAAATAATTAATAGAAATTCTTGTAAAGTACATATTTTCCCGTAGGATTATCACAAAATTTTCTTAAATAGCAATCTATTTACGTCAACATTTTTTTATGATTAAAATGCCTGAAAGTGTAGTTTAATAAAGCTAGAAGCCTTTATAACACAGCAAACTGCTCAAATTTATAAAGGGACATTCTGATTGACAGTTTCCAAGTGGTGAGGCTATGAATTATGCGATGCGAACAGATATAACTGGCCCTAGAGTGACCTGCTAAAAATTTCCCGTTTAAAAAGTCTTACCACAGAGGACGTTTTTTAAGCTCATGTTGATAAAAAAAAGCTCGACCAAAATTTTTTTCTAATAGAAGTCTCGCGGTTATGCACTTAGTCACACGTGATAACTCATATTCTGTCAAACTTGCCGAATCACCAACCGCAAAGCAAATTATGAACGACGGTCAAGTTTAATTAACAGATCCTTTCACGGGGTAAATTTAGACAGGTTTCAAGGTTTCTTAAACAGGCACACTCTTATCAATACACGACAAATTGCGTAATTTTGAATAACTGACCTACAGAACTTGTAATATATTAAATATGATGAACTTTCAAAACTGAAATATGGCTTTAAAATCAAATTTACTCATAGCGGTTGCATTCTCTTTGAGCAGTCGAGGAGATTTTTCTACCCTTAAAAGTTAAGATGGAGGTAGCGCCCCAATTACAAGTAAAATATTGAACCGAAACCTGAGTTCTGGCTCGCTTTTTAGTATTTAAACGAGAAACAGGATACATTTGGTCTTTTCGTCACGAAAACTTTAACAACGCTCTTAAAAACGTACAGAAAAGTTCTAACGTAAACATCTTCAAACCAAACATAAACTATGTTGTTAGCACAGGAACAAATATTTCAAAAATATGGCTTTCCTTGTACTTTATGGGCCTTGTAAGGTCCGCATGGTATAGTGGTAAACCGTGCTACCGCCATCTTTTCTCCTACGGCGGATTACGTCGAGTCGAAGCGAGGTGGACCAAAAAAATATTTTAAAAAATTGTGAAAATCTTCACCCCGGTCTCGTTCTGATGCCACGCTGTGCCTCGCAACCACGGATCCTTTTGGATTACCAATATTTATTTCAATTGCTCTGATGCTGTCGTTCGTAGGCACTGAAATGGTTGAAAACCGGAAACACCTGCTGGATGCGGTCCAGTTACGCAACAAATAAAAAACACTGATTCTCGTAAGGGTCGTTACGATCGCTGGAAAGTGGTTTCCGTATTAAAAAATAAACAATTAACCTGTTTTTTGAAGCGATAGTAGCTATCATGTGGAAACCAATCGATCTTTACAGTGAAATTTCAAAAATATATCAAACGTCTTAGAAGGTGTTTACATTCATACGATCTAACTACTTAATTGAATTTTTAATCAATAATTTACTGAAGACCCCTTGGCAACAACAGTGAAAACATTTATACACAAGCACAAAAAAATCGTGCGGGGAAACAATTATACCAGGGTCATGGCGTAATGTTTGCTATTTTTAAGAGAAACATCGATATCTGTTTTTGCTTTGCGGCCAATGCATCTCCATCTCACACCAACCCATCTACGAAGGCACCAATTAAAGAAAATAATTGGGGAATTAATATCAGCGCATTCTTGCATGTTGTTTTTGGAAAACACATTAATATATTTATAATCCCGGAGTGGTTGATGATTATATGTACGATAAGGTGGACATAATTAAATGTTTAATCATTAATAGAGCAACGTTCGGAACATTGTCACCACCTATACACTCACAAAATTATGTAAGACGACCAAACCACGATGCTTTAACAGTTGCATTGATAATGTAATTTTTTTTTTCTAGGATGGAGAGAAGAAAGTCGACGTCCAAGTCTAAGGGTCCAAGTCTAGGGTCAGTAACAATGATTCACAGCTTGATTCCAACTTGCATGCTTATTGGTTTATTAGTTCCTGCCTCTGTTTAGCAAACTTACAATCTTCCTCTATACGTTTCTAGCCAGGATGGATCTTGTTGCGATTATTTTCTTGAGCGTCTTTCTCGTCTCTCAAACGTTTGCCTCATCTCAGCCTAGCACCCTTATTTTTCGTCATCAACAATTCGATAGTTACCAAGGAAGCTTCAAACCCGATCTTTTCCACCACTTATCAACGACAACAATTGCATATTCTTATGTTATGGATACATTTGACTGTGTCTTTAAATGTATGAGAGAAACGGAGTGTTATTCGTTTAACTTCGCGGCATATAGAGACTCTCACGGTCTTTATCTGTGTGAGCTGTTGGCCATTGACAAATACAGAGCCACTGAAAGTGACCTTCAGGAAAACACCACCTTCCATCATTTCAGCCCGTTGGTAAGTGAAACCACTGTCAGTGTTTAACCCATATTGTTTAAGTCTCTGTGTTAAATTTAGAAAATTGAATAAAGAACTTAAGATGATTTCCGCACAACATTCGAGCAATAATATAATGGCAAAAATTAAGTCACCAAAAAACCTCATGGCATGGTAATATGTTGAGTACAGTTAAGAAGAACTTATCGAGACTTAAGCTCTCAAGCTGACCCCGTGAGGGAAAGTTGAACTTGAAGTTATCCATATTTCAATTAAAACAGACGTTTCGCGTTATTTAAAAACACAATAACACTTGCTTTAAGCATTTTCACGAGGTTTGATATTAACTTTCTCGAGAATGGTTGAGAATTTAATCGCGGGGCCACTTAGAGAAATGAACTAAAGTGAGATGTTTTAAATAGTATTCCAAACGTTACCGTGCTATGAGTAGATTTTTAGTAAATAGTTTTTGTCAAAACTTCCAACACTTTACAACAAGAAAATTATTTTATAAAAAGTTTTCAGATTATGATGTTTCAAATGCATCTTTCTTCAAACTTGATGTAAACTAATTACCAACATTTCTTAGTTTATTAGTTGAAATTAGGTCTTGAACTATCTCGGTAACTGAATTTAAACTGTTGAATATGCTTCCATTTCATTAACGTATATAATAATAAATGTTGTTTTATAGCTGAAGTTTAGCTGAATCTAACGCGCGCTCCCATTGGTTGATTAAGGATACGTGGCTATGGTTAAATCTAAATGTTGCCCGCTCTCCTGTCTAACCGGAGGTTGCTTGGTTACTTTACACCCTTGAAACTCCAGCCAAATAACAAAACGCTTAATAACTGGTCCCTTTGGGTAACAGGTGGTTATGTTTTCCCTCGAATCTCGATGTCAGTCCCTCAACTTCATCCTGGGGAAACTTCGAGATTCTCAGGAAAACAAAACTAATTCCCTCAGGATAAATAATTGTCATCTAGTTATGAAACATAACTGACTTATGCCGTGTTTTTATGAGAGAGGTTTACTACGGTTACTGCTTACCGAAGTTTCGGAACTAAACCGCAGTTATTAGAGAAGCTGTTTACACGAAACTAATTAACTAAAGTAGGCCGCATACAACGGACGGTTTGGGGTTTTCTCGGAAAGCAAGCGCTGCAATGTTGCACAGAAACTACTGGAAAATTATAAAATTTCTTACTTTACTCCAACGCCGAACGCAAGTCGTTGTCAATTTGCTTGGGTGATGTCGAGCCAAACTCTCCTTAAATGTAACGCTTTTTAGATGAATAGTGGAAAGAAAATTTTGATATCTCGGGGCTATTGAACTTCTCACAGAAAGGAAACGCTTACGGCACTTGACAATGAACTGGAAACAGCAGTTTGGGATTTCTTTGCCTAAACATGAGTTTATTTAGTTTTTTTTTTTGCCCGTTGACTTGAAACCTACTTACATTAGGAGGAATCTTTGTCTATTTTTCTCTTCTTTACGCGCTGAACGCGTGAACATTTGCTGTCAAGATGTTGCGACAACGTCTGCTTGTCCTTGGTTACCCCGTCGGTTACTAAGCTAAACCATGTCTGATGAGGCGCTTAACTGTCGACAAGCCTAGGTTGGCTTACTTTTGATTTTTCCGCCATTTACCGAGGTTTGTTACAGTGTTTACACGATTAAAAATTTTACTTCACTAAAGTTAAAACAAAACCAAGGTAAAAATCTCTCGTGAAAACATGGGCTTAGACTGCTTAGAAATAAACCTGCCAAGAACGACCAATGTATAAATTGCAAGACAAATTAAAATCAAGAATGAAAATACAAAAAATTTAGGTATCTGTAATTTTGCGGCCAATTTTGTGATCAATTATTCATGAAAGCGCTGGCACATAACATAATGGAATGATAAGCGCTGAGTTGGATTTGGGATTCCTTCGTAACTGTAAATCTTATTCTTGATCTTTCAGACGGTTTTTGTGTTTTTTCTTACCTGCTAAGACAAACAGGCATAAAGTTTTGGCCATCACGAGGCTTTTACTGAATAATATCACGATCACTAAGAAAATCATTTCTTTAAAATTGCTAAGTGGGCCTGATAATATCGGGTTTTTTCAAAGCAACGTTGCCACAATGGTCAATGGAGAATCAATCTACTGAAGACGCTAAAAAGCCAGAAAACTCTCCAAATATCTCTTATTTTTGTTTTAAAATTAAAGCCATTTTGAATCACTCAGGCTAAAATTTTCAAACTTTTCATGCAGTAGAAGGAGTTGAGGAAGAAGATTCAGGCACGTCGATGTTACCAGGATCCGCCATTTTGGAAAATTGCTCGCTTGTTATTAAACTATCGACGATTCATTTTAAATTCCACAGTTTCTATGCCACATCAGCAACCCGTGTCACAACAATGTGGACTGTGTTCATAACTTTGAACAAAAGACTTATCAATGTGATTGCCAGCCAGGATTTGCTGGCCTTTTCTGTGAACGAACTGGTAAGTTTAAAAGTTTTCCTTTAGTTTCTTGCAAACTAATATTGTAAACTGCCGGGGTTCATGCCCTCATCTTTCCATAAGTTGGATTTTTCCTGATTAAATCGGTAATAACTGGCCTCAAATGTAATAACTGGCTCCAAATGTAATAACAGTTGGCCTCAAATGTAATAACTGGCTCCAAATGTTATAACAGTAGGCCTCAAATGTAATAACTGGCGAACAAGTAAACAATACGTTTTATTTGCGATAAACTCAGTCTGCAAACATATTTTGGGTGTCATTTGTCACGTGACCTCGAAAAATCAGTTTTTCTAAACAACTGGATAGATAAAGACCAAACTTGGACATAGTGATCAATTACTGAAAATAAGCAAGTTCATGTGCCAGTATTTGATGATGTCATCAGTCACGTGACCGTCAGTAATTGAAATTTGGGATTTTTGGTGATGTCAATAGTCATGGAAAATTTTATACAGCTCGGCTATTTCTGCATATTGCAGCCAGGCTGCCGAAAGCTGTCAAAGCTTTCATGCTGTTTGCGACATAATATTTCTTTTGAGCGTGTGCAGAACGCAAACGTTCCATCGAGGGAAAAAAAAAAAAACGTCACACTTCTCGTTTTAAGGACCTTTCTTTTGGTGGTTTCTGGTCGTTTTCAATCCTTTCTTTTATGTTCTTTTGTAATGGAAAAAACCGAAGGAAGCGACAGTTTTAATAAATAATAGAGTAGGGTAACTTTTGTTCAATTTTAGGCGAAAATAATTCTCAAATTCGGTATTAGGTTGATCCAGGCATGCGTTATCGAAAGTCATCCTACTCAGTTTTCATCATTTTCTGGCGTAAAAGTAGATGGCGCTCCTCTCATGGGCAGTTTTGGTCGGTTTAGGGAATCGGTTAAAGAGTGCCGGTATTGTAGTCAGTGTACTTATTTTGAACGGATTGTGTCATTTTAGCAGGGTTTTCAAGCATAGCCTAGACTTACAGAAAAGACTGGCTCAAGCTTAACACAAAACTTAAACGCTTAGACGTCTAGACTTGCTGATTAGCACATAACATCTCTTCTTGGCGGTAGTGAAAAAGTGTATGATGCATAATGATAAAAAAAAACAAAAAATGACCCTAATCTCGTATTTTATTGTCCAAACAAAACTGACCCGGCCCTCTGAACCTGAAATGCCGTGACAAGATAAAGAGTACAAACACAACAAAAGTAGCCGAACTGGATTGGTTAACGTGAAAAAAAAAAAAAAAAAAAAAAAAAAAAAAAAAAAAAAAAAAAAAAAAAAAAAANGTCTGCAAACATATTTTAGGTGTCGTTTGTCACGTTTGTCCTTTGTATCTAACTACAACAGTGAAAGAGTCGAGGTATACTAATTTTCTCGACTCTATGCATGCTTCCAGTGTATGCCCGTTATCAAGAACCATCCATACGGTTGTGGTTCTAGCTTAAGCCATGCCTGGTGCCATTTTGGAGATCTTATTATTTGCTGCAAGCGTACAACAGGACCACTTCCTCTCCCCTTTAGCATTATGATTTTCCTCACGCTGATAGTCATAGGGTGATCAGGGAGCTCTGATATATATATATATATTTCACTTGTGGCCTCAACATTGTTTACTTGTTCGCCAGTTATTACATTTGAGGCCAACTGTTATAACATTTGGAGCCAGTCATTACATTTGAGGCCAACTTTTATTACATTTGGAGCCAGTTATTACATTTGAGGCCAATTATTACACTTGTGGCCTCAACATACGGTACTCAAGCTATGCTTGTAAAATACGGTAGCCAAACGTTTCGATAAATATACTTCGTTAAATCAACTATATGGTGTCCATTTAAAATTTTTGTTGCATGCACACGGATCCACAGACTACAAACTTTTTAAAACCCCCAGATCAATGAGAAAAGAAGTGCTAGAATTTTTTCCAGTGCTCTTTAACTTAATCAACAGTGAAAGGTCTTTAACGCCGGGCTTGTGGCACCATGCATAGATAGCTTGTTACAATTTAGTTTTTAGCGGTACATGTTTTGAACCTGTGAATGAATCTTACAAATGTTGCTTTATTTTAGCAATATATTTGACGTTCGTTTATGTTACTCTGTTCAGGAAAAACCTGCAGTGACATAAAGTCTCACAGCTCACAAGCTGTCAGTGCTTCTTACGTCATCGATCCCGATGGAGAAGGGGGGTACGAGCCGTTTATCGTGTACTGTGACATGACAGACAAGAATGAAGTTGGCGTGACAGTTGTCAGCCATGACAGCGAAGCTAGAACGCTGGTCGATGGATATGAGAGTAAGGGCAGCTATGAGCGTCGTGTTCACTACATCTCATCTGGCTTGACTGGTGTTGAACAACTTGCTGGCCTGGCCGATGCCTCCGCACACTGCGAACAGTTTATCAAGTACGAATGCCTCCATAATGGTATTTTCTTCAATGGCAACAAATATGGCTGGTGGATGTCACGCATTCACGAGGAAATGAACTACTGGGGAGGAGCCACACCAGCTGATAACTACAAGTGCGCATGCGGGTTGACAAAATCATGCGCAGATCCAAGCTATGGATGCAATTGTGACGCCAATGACAATGTATGGCGAGAGGATAGCGGCTTTCTCACTGAAAAATCCGACCTGCCGGTGTTGACGCTGCAGTTTGGAGACACTGGATCTTCCGGCGAGAAAGGTTACCACACACTTGGAAAATTCAAGTGTTATGGCTATGCTTGAAAAGTGTGTGACTTTGCAAGGTATACGTAGACCCAAACAAACACTACCAGTGTTGTAGCTGAGGTTTGGAGGCACTGGAGGTGCCAGTGCGAGAGGTTACTGACACACTTGGAAAATTTAAGCGTTATGGCAACGCTTGAACAGCGAAAATAAGCCTAGCGTAATTCTCTTTTGCTATGCATGTAATCCACTGTACACAGACAGAGTTAAAACTTTTCTTTTCTTCAAAACTGCTCGGTACCGTGAAGGTACTTGAGTGAGTGCTGAAAAGACGTTATCACTTTCATTTCAATTTTTTTCTGTCCCGAGCCGCACGTTAATATCCTGGTTGCTTTTGCAATCACCTCGGCTTCTTAATTTTACTCTTTCCTACCATCTTGCGCATAGTAAATAGCCGGAATAATCTGTGAAAAAGTCTAGGACCCCATGTAAAAAGAGATCACCGAATTTGTTAAAAGTACATGTTATATCTAAGTAATGCTAAAAGTGAGTGTAAAGAGTAAAACTATATAAAGCTGGACATAGAGTACTCATAACTCCATGAAATACCACTTAGCTCTAGCCTTAAACAAATTAACATTCGTAGCACTACGAGTTTCTACTGGAAGCCTAACCCGTGTTTGGGGCCTCACCATAAGCCATCAGCACTACATCATTCCACGGAAAGGTTCCACCGGCTTTTGAGAGACATTTCTTAACTTGAGGCACAATTCTAAAACCCAAAGAAGCCAATAAAAGGATCAAATGAAGAGAGCCGTTTACACACGCGCCAGTAATTTTCTCAGTCATATAATAAATGAGTAATTCTGTGAAAGCTAGAGCAACTAAGCATTTACACCGGTCACTCATGATGTTTGAAAATTCTTTCAAATTACACTCGCACATACACTAATTAAATATGTATAGATGCACTTACCATTTGTAGTAGACTATTGTGGGTTTTGTAGAAATCTCTTCTCCTTCACACAAGCTGTTGAAACTTAATTAAATAAGTTAAAAGATTTTTACATGTTATAATCTGTTAATAATAAGTTAGCTGGCATGAATCTTGGTGGAATGTCAGAGTTTCATAAAATTATGGCCAAAGTTTTATTTTGCGGATTGGCCTTTTTGTTGGACAATCTAAGAGATCGAATGATAGATGATCACCAATTTGAAATCCGCCATTTTAAAATATCGACGGGATGCAAGAACTCCAATTAAGTCGCGTGAACACTTAAGTTTTGTAAAATTTCGGATTTTTCGAAACGCACTGGTCAAACTATTAGTTCCTTAGATTTCAGCTCCATATTTTCCAGAATTTTGCATCAAATGGATCACATCTCTTCCATAATTCTTTTAATAAATTGGTTATATCATGAACATTTTGTCTAAAATGTTTCACAGATTCAAGGGATAGCTGGTAATTGTTCAAAATTTCAAAAGTCAAATTGTCCATGGTTTTGCTTTAGATAAATACACAATTTTCACAAAATTTACATCCGGAATAGGGCATGCATGGGTGGCCATTGTCGGGCGGAACGGCAACCAAACGCGTATACGTCTTAACTTAATTCTGACTTCAAAGCGAATACAACTGAACTGTTGGGCTCGATAATACAAATCAATGAATAAGCTAACCTGATCTCACCCAAACTTCTCACAAAATTATCAGTCTCACTGCAGGAAGAATGTCTTTGTCCTAATTATTAGTCGCTCGGCCATAACGTTAATACTGCTTCCGCACAATGGGTTCTAATGTTTTCGATTTGGTGGAGCAGAGATGGCGCGCGCGGTGATGACCTCCCACTAATATTGCCGGGGCTCGATGAAAGAACACGCAGTTATAAAGTTAGTTAAAGGCAGGCCTTCGAAAGTTTCTCGGTCTGTCGCGAAAACGAGGCGATAAAGATGAGAATTCTCATTAGAATTCCTTTCGTATTTTCCGGCTCCAAGGTATTAAGTACATTTACGTATTTCAGTGATCACAGACCATAATTTTGTGAAAGCAGAATGATAACATTTTTGTAGCCACACAGTTACACGAAACTGATAGTCGCAGAATTACTGATGCCTAAAATTCACGGAAGAAGTCAACGGGTTCAACTCGTGAATTGGCATTTCTTGGCCACTTATACTGTGGCGGTTTTAATAGAAACTCAAATAAAAGTTAATTGTTAACAATATCCATGGTAATTTAATTATCATTTTCAGCAAAGGTGNTGGCATTTCTTGGCCACTTATACTGTGGCGGTTTTAATAGAAACTCAAATAAAAGTTAATTGTTAACAATATCCATGGTAATTTAATTATCATTTTCAGCAAAGGTGGGGCGAAAAAGGCGCCCCACGGCTGGTAAGCGAAAATACATAGTATAAATGTCGATCCGAGAGATGGCGATAAGGGAGTGGAGGGAGAGAAAAATGTTTTCGCCAAGAGATATACTCGCTGTGATGGTGAAAGCAAGAGGAAATAATTGAAAATGTGACCGGTCTTTTATACTCACGGATAGATAACACTCTTTAACATGATTGGCTGTTATGTCACATGACAGACCACCATCGGATCGACAAATATGTGCCTTGAATACAATAGGTCAATTTACCGACATAAATAACATTGTGCCTTGGCTTAATGTTTGTTGTTTCGGAAACGCCTGCTACGCAGCCTAAATTCAGTATTGAATATCAAATTTGTTTTTTGGCCTGACAGTTTTGTTCCGGACCGGACGCACGAGTTATCTACTCGCATCTGATTGGTTTATAAACAATAAAATTGGGTGGGCTATATCATAGCTTGCATATGCGCCAAACCATGAAACCATCCCTCTAACGAAGCTCTGTCATGTTTTGTGGTTAAAAGAAAACTAATTTTACATTACACAATAACACCACTAGGACATTTTGCACATTTGACAGTTGCCTTGATCAAAAAAAAGTTCAAAAATTCTAAGCGACCTCGTTGAAAGAACGCGCAGTTATAAAATTAGTTACTCTAAGTGCTGTCATGTTTTGAAGGTAAATAAAAGGCTCATTTACATTACACAATAACACCACTAGAACATTTTGCACATTAACCGGTTTACAGAAATAGTTCAAAAACTGTTTATTCTGCTGAAGTTAGCATGATAAGGCGAACTGCCAAACCTTTGTGTTAGCCGAGGTCAAGGGCGACTTTTCCCACTATCATGGAAAAACTGAAACCAGTAATCGCTTTATTGTGGCTAACAAAAGATTAAAATTTACGCCAGTCTGTGATTTCTAGTCGAACCTGGCACTTGTGTTTAACTCTTCCACCCGCAGTTTGCCTGGACAAGAACCTTCTTCCATAATTTTCAGAATCAAGCGTTTTAATAATTGATTACTTCAAGGGCATTTTGTTAAAGATGCCAGAAATTGAATTTTAATTTTAATGTCTTTAATGGAGCTTTTTAGAAATCTTTATTTAAAAAATTGACATCCGACCTTTAAAAGGCAAGGTTTTTGATGACTCTATAGTTATTTCTGTAGCTTTTTGATAAATAGTGACTCCAGACAAGTTATTCTTCAGAATGTCTTAACCGCCAGGTTGTCACTTGGAGCAAAATAGGGAGTGAAATTAAACAAAACACATAAATAGTTAATACTTGTCTGTAAAATTGTGCTCTTCCCCTATTGAGTATTGAGCTTTTCTTTAAAAAAATAACAGAAAAAAATTCATGCGGTTAATAAATGAAAAATGACTAGAATCCTAAAGGGCCGAATTAAGGATGTGTTTGGTCTTCTTTCGGTTCAGTGTACGTTGTACCGTGTTTCTATCAAACACGAGTGGAAGTTTGGGAGAACGAGAAATGCTGTGGGAACACGGGCCACCGGCGACTGTTTCCACAGCTTTTTCGAGTTCTTCCAAACTTTCTCGAGTGTTTCTATAACTCGATAGAAACGCGGATAACATGTTTTCTATTTCTTTTAGAAAAAACCTCGACGAAAAAAAGAGAACAACTTGTTCACTTTGATCATTAAAGCGTAAATTCTCTTTGCTCGCGGCCGTCACTACGTCAACAGCACGTGCTAGTTCTGTGTTGCTAAAATTGTGTTTCTATCGAGTAACTAGGAACACGATTTTAAACAAATCAGCACGCGTATATTTTTTTGGGCTATTTTCTAAATACTATGCCGCCTTTGTTTGCTAATATAAATAAACTACATTGCTGGCGTTACTTAACTGGTCAGGATATCTTGCTTATCGAAAGTAAAGGAGGCCATATTTGATAATTATCTAGAGGGCAGAAAACCGCAGAATAATCTGCATGTTATCCGGCAACTGCTGGATAATGGCTGCCATGACAATCCTGCTGGTTTTCTTCCCCCAAATTACATACGCCATGGAACAAAGTGCTCTTTATCGAAATCCAGCAAGTGACTTTTCTGTTGCCGATTTTAAGCCTAATCCTTTCCACTACTTATGGAGGAAGAAAGTAACATCGTCCATGGTGGAAGATCAGCTTGATTGCACTTTCCTTTGTGTTGCTGAACCAAAGTGTTATTCGTTCAACATGGCGGCGTATCCTGACTCGAAAGGTCTTTATCTGTGTGAGTTGTTGGCCACTGACAAGTACAGAGAAACTAAAAAGTTTCATGCGAATGCTACCTTCCATCATTACAGTCCATGGGTAAGATGTTAACAGATTTGTCTTCTTTTTTTTCGTTTTCGCTCAGGGTGCAGAGTTGTTTTGCTTTCCGTTACCAGTTGCGGGTGGCTCTATTTCGCTGCTTCCCGCACAGTTTGCACAAAACGCAACACCTTCTAGACTTCATAACAAAAGCATAGAGCTATTTTTTAAAACCAACCTTTGTTTGTTTACTGCACTAGTCTCCTTGTGATACCGATCCTTGTAAGAACGGTGCTGACTGTGTTCCTGAATATGATTTGAATTCCTATCGCTGTCACTGTAAAATAGGATATCATGGAATTCACTGTGAGCAAAAAGGTATGTAAAATAAAATAGACTTGTGTGCAGTTTCATTTATGTCGAACTTCGAGAAAGCATCATATCGTTATTATTTTTTTTGCTCAGTTTAAAGCCAGCCCCGGGGAGCCAGCTGCCCTCCCCAGTACCACCGAAAAAAATTCATTTTCTCTACCTCGTAACTAATGTTATAGCTAATGTTAATGGTGTTGAGACAAAACGAGTATTTTTAACGATTAAAGCTAGGTGCGGAGGAAATAATCACTCGTATTGAGACTTATGAAGAAAGGAAATGTATAGATACCATATAAACGTTGTATCAATTTGATACTTTAACAATTCTTTTTGTCACAGGAAGTACTAGACAAAATTAAAATTCAGATGTGTTAAACTAATGCACCAATTCTAAAATTTCAACTGTGGCAAGGCACTTAACTTAAGATTAGCAAAACGATCGTCATGGTTTAATTTGAATGGAAGCATGATAAGTCTTTAACACAATAAGCTCAGTTTGTTTTTTTATCTTCAAATTATTAACTGGCAAAAAAAAAAAAAAAAAGAGATTTTGGCCAATATCCAATCATCTTGACCTCACATGGCAAAAAAACACAATACAATATTTTTGGGCCAGGCTAGAATTTTAATATATCGAAATTGGTCTATTCTCTCGTAAAAGTATTAATTAAAAAATACTGTTGCTGGTGATTAAAACGGTTTACGTTTAGAAAATAAATGGTTTTGTTTCTTGCTCCCCAAAGTTTGTAAATTTGACTTCGAAAATGGAATTGACGGTTGGACACGGACCGGTACTGCGTTTAACAATCAACCAACCTATGGCGATAACCCAACAGCTCGAAACAAAGGGGAGCCTGCCAATCAACAGGGGGACTGGTGGATTGGCGGATTTGAAGATCGACCGTCAGAAGCCACACCGGCAGGACAAACACAAGGAGACAATCCCCAGGGAACTCTCACTTCCCCGCACTTCAACATCACGGGTGAAACAATCTCGTTCCTGATTGGCGGAGGATGCGACATAAACACGATTCGCGCAGAGTTGCTAATGGAAAGTCAGGTAGTAAGAACTGATCTGTATCGTTTTTAGTGTATTTGTTTTTCATTATTGTAGACTTCAGCTGCAAGTTTTACCTAACTTCCATAAGATCACTGGTGATCTGGGAAGTTTTTGTCGACTTTTGGACCTTTATACCAGAACTACTCCATTAAAAACCTTTCTATCTTTAGTCGTTAAAAAATCTTGACCCAGGGCAAACGTCCGGTTGGCCAATCTGCATTCAGGTTTTTCATTTATAGCGCATGATTAAAGCAAAAGCATAAAGCTTAGTTCACACTTGTGAGATAATCACAAGTGTACACCGGTGAAATAAGCACAAACAAAAGCAAAAAGAAAAAAAATTCCGTTTTGCTGTACTTGCGTTCGCAGTTATTGCACTAGTGTTAGGTTCATTTCACAAGTGATTACTGGTGTAAAATAAGCACAAGAATAAGCGCGAGAATTCAACCAATCGCCATCTGGTTTCTACAGCGATGTAACTCGCACTGCGCATGTGTATGTTGTTAGTGTGAACATCCTTGTGCTTGTCCTCGTGTTTACGACGTGCTCCAGACTTAAGCAACACACGCGGACGCAGGAATAAGCGCCTTTGTTGGGAAAATGTCCTTACAAAGAACACGTTGCTTACGCTCGTGTGCCTGTTAGTGAATAGACATCGAGCAGTTTCTCTTTTCCTCGAAAATCCGTGGGGAAGGAAGCAAAACAAGTAAGCGTGCGAGCGTGACTGTGAGCGTGACGTGAGAGTACGTCCTCGTTACTAGCACGTCACGCTCATTGTCACGCTCGGAAGCTTGCTTGTTTTGCGTTATCCCCCACCGATTTTCGAGGAAAAGAGAGACTGCTCGCAGTCTAGTTAGTGAAAACCAGTCTTTCAAGCTTTTTGTCTTGTTTGTTAGGTTATCAGACGGACTACTGGTAAATGCAAAGAGACCATGGCGCGAGAGTCCTGGAAGGTCCAAGAGTTCATTGGTCAACGCGCGTGCGTTCAACTGGTTGACCAAAGTTCCAATGGATGGGGTCACATTAACTTTGATGATCTAAAAGGAGACATCATCTGCGAACAAGACTAATCAGTTTAAAAAATCGTAATATTTTATTACAAGGCTTTATTCCTTTCTTTGTAAGTTCATATGTAAAATTATCCGGTAGTTTTATCCTACCCGTCAACAGAAAATAGTATTAACTGCACGGATTTTATTACAGTTCAACCCCAATCCTTGGGGAAATGGGTAGTGACCCCCTTACGCTGTTTGATAGAGGTAGAAACAATAGAAAGGCCCTCATCTGGACTTTGATTTTTGGCCGCCCAATAGGGGAAGCCGTTTAATAGGTGACTGCTTAATCGGGGTTTGACAGTATACGGCTCGTGTTAGTAGCCGAGTTTAGATCATAATCCTTTGCTGATATGAAGCGCTCTCTGATTGGCCAATTCTAGGGTATTATTCTCCCGTAATGCCCACGGGTCGATTCCCGCCTGGAAAAACAAGGCAAAAGGTAATTTAAAAAACTCTTGCTTTTTTTTCCTGAAAATTGGAGCGGCTGGAAACGATAAGTGACGAAGAACACTCTGAGAGTGAATTCTTTCACCCTTACGAGCTACAATTTCAGGAGAAAAAAGAAGAGAATCCACAGCGTTAAATTAAGAACGAGTTGGTGTCGGACAGGACGAAGGAAACAGCCAAGACGAAATTGAAACTTTCGTCATATACAGCAATAAAAAAAAACTACTTATTCATCAACTTTGAATGGTCTTTTCGGAAAATCTCAGCCTCAGCCTTGGTGTATTGATGTCGCTATCGCACGATCCATACGGCAAGGTCTCTGTTTAAGGTTTTCCAGAAAAAGACCTCACTCTTGGTTAATAAATAGTTTGCAACTGCTCCCGGAACTTCCAGGAGTAAAATAAATTCCGAGATCCGTTTATCATACAATAAAAAAGAAGTACGTAACAAAAAGTAACTTGGATCCTAGGTTTTGTAGAACCGTATTCAGAGCTAAATAAAATGTTTTCAATCGATTGGAGTATTATTTTTAAAAGGTAAATCTACGCCTATGATGCCCCTTAGATCAGTGATGTCCAGATTGTAAAAACTTCATTTCAAGGCATTACCCCTAGATTACAAGCAGTCCGCTCTCGGGAACATCGTCGACAGAACAACATTAGAAGTTGAGAGTATAACCATGTTATCAGTCCGTTCAGAAGAAGGGGGAATGGGGTGGGGGTGGGTTAGGGCTGTACGTTTTGTACGAAATTAAAAGAGAGTTGGTTTTGGCCTTCTTAGCAGGACATCGTGAAAATTGCAGAGAAACAGGAGTGTCGTTCTCCATATCTATAATCATATGTGAATCTAGTTCCAGTCTTCTTATCTGTTTTTGTATGTATATTTTTAGATTTCTTACATAGCTTTTAGATTTTTGCATATTTTACATTTTATTTTATTTATTATTCATTGATTTTTTTTTACGCAGGAGCCATGTTGATAGCAGTTTTTATAACTGAAATGGTCATCCTGCACAAGTATTTTTATTTATTGTTATTATTATCTCAACTTGAGAATGATGACGAAACAAGGAATATATATAGGACCATTAAAAGCCAGTTGTTCCATAGTGACTTAGTAGACCGAATGTTATGGGGCTCTTGTGTTTTCTGTTATTTAGGAGCTGCGAGAAAAGCAGCAAGACAAAAAAATGTGGGGGGGGGGGGGGGAGGGAGGGGGGGTTTCATTATTAACTTAACGCCTGGAACAGGCGAGGCACGTCGGCGTTGGCTTAGCAAAGATGAGAACGCTGATTTGTTTTCTTAGGACGTTTCCCTCCCTGATTTGTAGTATTTTCTCGTGTGCGTTTCCCTCTACGCAACCTGTTGTCTGCATTCTTTCCCAAGACATCCAAAGCGAAGCAATCTTGCACTCTGCCACCGACACATTGCGTTTTCCATGGCCTCGCTAGTCTAGGTCCCTATATCTTATTAATCTAAGGTCTATGGCCACAGCAAGAATAACAGGGTGGGACGTGTTATGAAAAATGTGGTTTATTGATGTGCCAATTACCGGAACGAGCATAAGACTGAAACACTACAACAACAAAGATATCAACTCAAATGTTCTTTTCACAAACTTCTGTTCATTTTGTCAATTGTTCGTCGTCATCTCTCGGTAATTTGCTTCAAATCAATGCATATGACATGAGGTATCAAGCTATCCCTGTTCAATCGCTTTGCTATTTCAATATGCCTATCAAAGCAGACAACATCATTCCAAAGAACAGTGCAACAGCGGTGGGCGCGTGGCGCCCGCTCGCGGCAGTTGGCACAGGCTGGGTGGCTTCAGGACAGTTTGACTTTTTGGGTGGTAGAGGCTCGGAGATTACCAGTATAGGCACGGTCAANAAAAGTGGTTCAGTCATCTGGTGAAGCTGAACGTGGAGACGAAAGAGTTTGTGACATGGAAGGAGCCTGGAGGATTTGCTTCAGAGCCTGTGTTTGTCAAAGCGCCTGATGGGACGGAAGAAGATGATGGCGTGGTGCTGTCATGCGTGGTGAGTATCCCTGACCAGACCACTTATCTGTTGGTATTGGACGCGAAAGAGTTCAAGGAGCTGGGGCGAGGCGTGGTGAAAGGAATTACTCCGATGAGCTTCCATACGGGATTTTTCAATTAGGAAAAAGAACTGAGACTAATTAGCGAAGTTCGAACGGGAACGCTCTCTCGTTTTAATGACATGTTCGTGAACCTTGTTTTGGGCTTCAACTAACCTTGTTTTTGGCTTACCATAAACGTAAAGTTTATTCGCCAAGATTTCGCTGGTATCAACAGAAACAACATTAATGTTAAGAGCTCCAGCTATTCAAGTTTTTGTTTTGTTTTTTTCTCAGATCCAGATATTGGTGCTGGAGTGAAATAATCTTCATTTTGAGATTCAGTCGCATGGCAGTTCTGTTTGAGAGAGTTCTCAACATGCAACTTTAATATTTAAGAGAAAATCTTAAGGTCAAGAAATTATATCAACTCAGTACTGTGCTAGCTTTGTAAATTACTTTTGCCATTCGAATATTTTCACAGCACGATCAAAAAAAAAAAAGCCGCGGATTTCTACTGATCTGCACAAATATTTATTTCCAGAGATTCACACGAGATGTAGTTAGCATGTAGTGCAGACGTATTTTGGGCGCACGAGTGCACATTTTCGTATTCGGCCGCCATCTTGGATTTGGTAACTGTGGGGGGTTGGGGGGAGAAAAAAATTACCGGTCCAGCATCCAATTACAATCCAAGTTGGCGGCATCGAAAACCTGGTTATCGAACGTTCCGGTCCAAAATAACGCCTGCACTGCAGGCCAAATGTAGTTAAATCGTGTTTCTTTAAAATAAAAGGTGGGCGTGTTTTTGTACTGAATGTTTCTGTGGTGTCGTGCAAGTGTTTTAGAGTTCTTTTGAAATGTCATAGAATGACTAGGGTGAAAAGTGTTAAGCCAAATTATATACTTTCCTGCTTTTCAGATGCTTTTAAATCGCTTCAAAGTACATGAATTGCTGGCAAAAACTGGCATTTAAGTTATTCGCCACACACTTTGTTGTTGATGAATTTCGGACGAGAATTTTTTTTACTATTAACAAAAAAGGTAATTTTACTCAACATAAATGTGATTTATTTATCGAGTTCGCGTTTTGTGATCAAGAAGCGTGATCGCCATCGCATTAAGAAGTCGACTTATAGCAGCTTTAGGACGACATCAACACTTTCCGCGATTCTAACCCATTATATATAAGATCGCAGACTGATCAAAATTTAATTTATACCGAGATATATATATATATACTTTCAAGCTTATACAGGTGATGAGAAAAGAGAAACTCATCAGCCGAATTCATCAGCTAATTCTCGGTCAGAAAATTACTTACATTAATTGGTATAGTGCGAGCTCCACCTTAAAAGTTGATGTAGCGATACGACTCCAATACCGACCATAAACTTGGATTAAAGCAAAAGAATGAGTAAGCCACTAATCCTCGAAAAAAATGCTCTTAGTCTGCCTGTCTTTACTAATATACATTTTACTGAATTAATATTTTTCGATATCTATCAACTTTGATTTCTTGTGTCCACAGAATTATCCGTAAAGTTCGTTAATAAAAATCTTAACACCTCCAACGAGTCGAAGTAAGCATTACCAACATAAGCGATTATGTCGTTGTGGCGTTACGTCGCTAGTGTGATCTAGCCCTAAGTGTCCTTGCAAAATTTGTTTGTTAATTAATGCTTGGTAGAACAACATTAAAATACAAAGTCAGTCTTAAATTTGCTGTGTAATACCTCAATCCACTTATGCTTGGCCATAACACTTGAGTTTTCCTAATGTATGATATCCTTCTTCGTGTGAATGATCCAAGTCTCCCAGTCTGATTTGTGACACAGGCAGAGCAGAATTGTCTGTCAACAGACCGCTGTCCTCTCTCCAAACTTTTCCACCACTGTTATAGCAATTACATTTTTGACCATTTGAACAGGAGTTTGTTAATCCGCATGCGCACATCTTGTCATGGCCTGAAGCTCCTCCCCAGTAACTCATATTCCTTCCGTCACGTGACACCCACCAAGCATCGCCTTCCACAATAAAAGCTATCGAATAATGGCATTCAAACTTGATAAACTGTTCACAGTTCTGTGAGACTCGAGTGAGTGCTGCTAGCTGAGCAGTGCTGACTCCAGTGTATCGGACATCTTTACTGTAACATCCTAGATTTCCTAGATTACATCCGGGAATGTTACCAACGTGAGTTCTACTCTCACTGTCGTGACTGATAACCGTCACACCAACTCCGCCCTTGTCACTCATGTCACAGTAGACACTGAAGGGAGTCACGCCTCCTTTGCCATCAGGGTCAATCACATAATTACTTGAAAGTATTTCCTTATTACTTGATTTTATTTCACTGCATGAGATTGCCTTACGAACCTCTAGAGAAGTGCTTGCTTTAACGGAACGATGGAAATTTCTCGCTATGCAGGTATAGGATCCAGCGTAATTTGGTGAAATGTTCTTAAGAAGCAGAGATCCGTTTGAATAAAGAATGCGATTGGACGGAAGACTTTGGCCTGCACGTTGCCAAACAATGTCTAGAGCTCCTTGTGCTGAGCAAGGAAGTAACGCATCTCTAGAGGTTAATCCTAAGGATGTACGAGGAGGAAGTATCGTAAACTTGAGGGCCTCAAGCACAATGACTTGTACTAAAGCTGAATCCTGATTAAGAAGATTCTTTGCCAAGCATATATAATCTCCTCCTTGACTTTTCGTCACTTTCACCAGGCTGAGGTTTGCTCCCTCGACATTGGTTACTGTCTTTTTTGGTGTGTTGTGATATAGAAGAGCCAACTTACTCCACGTGACCGTTGGTGTCGGCTGACCAGTAGCTTGGCAGACCAGGCTCACGTTCTGTCCTTCTTCAACGATGACAGACGAGGGTTTGCCAGAGATCACGGCGCCAACTAGGTAACAACAGAAAAAATGTTAACCATGGTGCATAAGAGGAGAAAATAAATTGAAATGATTTAAAAGCGATGATTGAATGACTTTTGGCATATCTGTTTTCGGTTGAATTATATTGTGCTTTTGATTAATTATAAAGTATCTGTTAGGCGTGTGTGTCTTCGTCTAGATTTCTAGTTGCGTTTAAAATGAAAACGTTCTCTGGTTAAATTGAAAAAAAAAAATTAACTAGGAGCTTTAGGTTAGTAGTCTGTAGCCTTTTATTTACTCATTTACGCACACCAACATCGTACATTAATCATTCATTCGCACCAGCCATCTTAGAAAGGTGGCTTTCAGCCCAACATTTTGCTTACACATTTAACCTAAGGAAACTTTAAATCAAATTTTAACAATATGTTGTTTTGTATACCATTTTAGACAAAAAACGTAAGGTGTACCACTTTCTCATACGTGCGGTAAGCATACTTTGTCCCTTTCTCATAATCTCGCTTTGGATAGTCCCTTTGAATCCCCTTGATGACTTTGCCACTGACGTTACAGGCGTTTGTTTGGTGCAAATTGAAAAGGCCTCCTTGGTAATACCGAAATAGTTTTTCCTTCCCATTTCTAAATCATCGAGCTGGTAAAATCCCCACCCTTTTATATATCTCGAATCTTTTAAGAGTAATAGTAGAATTTCTTAAATGACAGGGTAAATGTTTTTCACCTTGAACAGTTAAAATGGCCGATGAGGTCATTTCTCCGAGAATATTTCTTGCTACACAAGTGTACATTCCTTCATCTTGTGACGTCACATCTGTTATCATCAGTCCACCACGTGACGACACAACTCGTTTATCCACGGAAAGACTGGTATTCTGTTTCAGCCACGTAACTTCAGGTTCTGGGTTTCCTTCAGCTTCACACTGAAACGAGGCTGTACCGGATTCGTTTACCACCATGGACATCGGAGGTGCCACAATTGAAGGGGCTGAGATTGATTTACCTGGATTACCTTTAGGTCCCTGAGGACCTTCAGGTCCCGGAGGTCCCTGAATTCCTTGGAGTCCTTGATTTCCTTTAGTTCCCTGGGGTCCTGGAGGTCCGGGTGGTCCGTGTTTACCTGGAGAGCCTCTGGGACCAGGTCTGCCTCGTCTTCCCCTGATGCTTTTGGGGCACTGAACCGTGCAGGCCTGGCTGCTTAGAGCAAGAAACACTTTTGTCTTTATTTCGTCATGATCGATAGTTTGGCTGCCATTCGGTTTCTTGTTTCCAGTTGCCACGTTGCGTTTGTAACGAATGTGCAGCTCTGCAACAAACACAACGGGAACATTTTACTGCGCAGTTCATGTTTCACTCAGTAGATCATAACTAAACTCGGAGTTCACGTCTTCTTTAATGAAAAAAAACCAAAAAACTGAAAACGTGATAAAATTTAAATTATTAACCCTAGTGATCAGTCGGGATCCTAACTCATGCAGTGGAGGTGATATCGCCTGACTTCGCGGTGGTAAGCAAGGGATTTTTGGACTTCCAAATAGGCGAAAAAATAAATCAGGGTATTTAACTCATGTGAGTGACAAAAATCTCTCAAAAAAATTATTTTCTGTCGACAGTGAATTATTAAAGTAGGCTTTTGGTTTTCTTTTTTCAGTGAAATGTTTATACTATATGTCCAATGGTCTAATTTCACAGTCGCTGAATGCTCCTTCGGGATGGGAGGTACTGCCTATAACGGCCCATACGGGGAGGATCTTCCCCAAAGTCTTCAGGTATGTAAAAGGAAGGGATTTCACAAGTTGAAGTATATGAAAGGGTAGGGAAATCTGAATTTTCGATATTTTAAACGAACTTCAATCAAAATATTTTGAATAGCCGCACCTTATGGCTGTATCATTTCATTTATTAAGTACTACATAGAAATGAAGAGAAGATTTCCTTTTTTGGCGATTAATCTATAACACGGGCCGATTATGGCCGGCGCTCCTGAAATTTGAATTAACCAATCAGGATTTAGCAAGCGGGAAAACCTCTACTGTCCTGACGTCAAATGCATGATAATGGAGTCAGGCATCTTTTCTCACTGGAGACGGCATTAGATATTTTCTTAAACTCCAAAAACCGATGATGATGACTCCAAAGACCATATCAGAATGTAAAGAGTAAAATATTTTGTGTCTTCAACCTTTTGATTTGGCGCCAAAATGAGTCGCTCGCGCTCGGCAACTCGCTCTTCGATCGCTGTCGCAAGGTAGAAAAATGGTTGTCATTTTGAACAAAATATAATTTTCCTCGTCAAATTAATCCCCAGATTTCACGAGTTAAGCATTAGAAGAAGCCAAAGCAACTTACAATTGTCTTTGCTTTTTGTTAGCTGTGAAAAAAGACTATTATCGTGTCGTTTCGGTAGGACAGCTCAGTTTTGACTGCCGGTCATACTTCGGGCGCAGTCACCGAATGCAAGGTACGAAAGGAGTGCCTCCCCGCATAAAACTTTGAAGGGTACCCCACCCCCGACGGAATGCTTCAGACATTTCCTTTTCCTATAAGCACGCATCAACAATTTCACCGCTGATCTCTTAACTTCTGTAGGCGCGTATCGAGCAAATATTCTAAAATGCTATGCGAAACTATTTTTTAATTCTTTCCCCCCAATAAAATACGTTTAGAAAACACTCTAGCGGACCTTCAGACATCATAGCGTGAGTTTTCGTAATATTCAGGCTATGACGTTATAAGATTTGTTGATGCTGAATAGTTTTATTGTCTTTTAGTGGACGCTGGGTGACGCAAATTTCTTCTTTTCGGTCTCATAAGGGAAAGGGAAGCGTATGGTGTATATGTAGTACGATTAACCCTTACCAAGTTGTAAACTTTGAATTTATCGTGTATGAGTTTTTAAAGGACATCAGGTGTCGATTCGGTAGGAATCCTGTTTCAGCTTTTTCCGTTTCAGCTGTAGCTTCTTCAGGGCAAACGAAATTCCTCGTCTAACTGTTTTCTCAATGATGCTAGTTCTCACCTTTGTTAGACTCACTGTGTGACATTTTCATCACAGATTCTTTGTCTTCGTGTGCTGTGTTTCGTAGCTCGAGCTTTTCTTCTCTTTGTTGATTCAAGACTTGAAGCATTTGTCGATGAACGTGAAGTNTCACAGAAGACACTGAAGGGAGTCACGCCTCCATTGCCATCAGGGTCAATCATATAATTACCTGAAGAACTTCCACTCAGGCCAGATTTTATTCTGCTACAAGATACGGGCTTGAGAACTTCAAGAACAGATGTTACCTCGATAGAACGTTGAGAATTTTTTGCTACGCATGTGTAAGCCCCAGCATCACTTGAGGAAAAGCTTGGAAGAAGCAAAGTTCCGTTTGGATAAAGAACATGATTCTGAGGAAGACTTTGGCCCACTCGTCTCCAAGCAATTTCTATTGAACCTTTTGCCTCACAATTCAGTATCACATTGTTGAAATCGAATGCAACAACTTTCTTTGGAGGAATTATAGTAAATTTAAGTTTGCCAAGAACCATTATTTGTGAGACAGCGGAGTCCTCACCAAGGAGATTCTTTGCCACGCAAGCATAAGCTCCACCATCTGCTTTTGTTATATTAAGTATGGTCAGATTCCCATCAACAACTGTAGTCTTTTCTTTTGGTAATTGACCAAACGCTTTACGCCAAGTGACCGTTGGTGTCGGCTGACCAGTAGCTTTGCAGACCAGGCTCACGGTCTGTCCTTCTTCAACGATGACAGATGAGGGCTTACGAGAGATCACGGCGCCAACTAGAAAGTACGTTAAGTAAAAAAAGGAAAGAAGAAGAATATAAAGTACTTTCCTGTACTCAGAGGGCAACAAAAATATCAATTCGATATATTTTCGATTGTAAAAAACGGACGAAAACTTTCCATCAGTAAAGTAGAAGAAGAAAGGGAAAGAATTTAGCGAATTAGAAGCGAAGAGTGACAGACGACATTCTGCTTCAAAGTAGTAAAAAGATGATTGGTAAATGTATAGTATAATACCTTGAACAGATAATGTGGCCGATGATGTCACTTCTCCAAGAATATTTCTCGCCACACAAGTGTACATTCCTTCATCTTGTGACGTCACAGCTGTAATCATCATTCCACCACTTGACGGTACCACTCGTTTATCCGCGGCAAGACTGAAATTCTGTTTCAGCCATGTGACTTTAGGTTGTGGGTTTCCTTCAGCTTCACACTGAAACGAGGCTGTACCGGATTCGTTTACCACCATGGACATCGGAGGTGCCGCAATTGAAGGGGCTGAGATAGATTTGCCTGGATCGCCCTNTTAAGTTTGCCAAGAACCATTATTTGTGAGACAGCGGAGTCCTCACCAAGGAGATTCTTTGCCACGCAAGCATAAGCACCACCATCTGCTTTTGTTATATTAAGTATGGTCAGATTCCCATCAGCAACTGTAGTCTTCTCTTTTGGCAATTGACTAAACGCTTTACGCCAAGTGACTGTTGGTGTCGGCTGACCAGTAGCTTTGCAGACCAGGCTCACGCTCTGTCCTTCTTCAACGATGACAGATGAGGGCTTACGAGAGATCACGGCACCAACTAGAAAGTACGTTAAGCAAAAAAAGGAAAGGAAAAGAATATAAAATACTTTTCTGTACTCAGAGCGCAACAAAAAAAAACTCGATATATTGTCGATTTTAAAAAACAGACGGAGAAAACTTTCTATCAGTAAAATAGACGAAGAAGGGGAAAGAATTTACTGAATCAAAAGCGAAGAGTGACAGAGACATTCTGCTTCAAAGCAGTAAAAAGAAATAATAATATGATTGGTAAATGTATAGTTAATTACCTTGAACAGATAATGTGGCCGATGACGTCGCTTCTCCAAGAATATTTCTTGCTACACAAGTGTACATAACAGGAAAGTAAAAAGTGGCGAGGTCGACGTTTGCTTCTTAAATGCGTTGCTTTTCAATTTAAGTGAACACCACCAATGTAAATGTAGATCTTATTTATAGTAGTCATCCACTTAGCCATACAAGCGCTAGCTAAGCTTAGCTAGTCTACAGGCATGCCACTGAAACAAAGGAAACAAATATTTCAAATAAACGTAACATAGCTAGTTAAAAGTCCCAACTGGCAGGAGGCAGACCAGTTGGCTACTTACGAAGCGTGACCAAGGATTTGAACTCGGGACTACGGAGAAATAAATCCCGCTAGTGGCATGGTGGAGGTCTTGATTCCGGGACCTCTGGATTACAACACCAGCGCCCTAAACCACTCGGCCATGATGCCTCCTTAAGGTAATTATGGACGCTTTCCATTCGACCAAAAATATCGGTATGAATTTCCGAGAATTTTCTAGGGCGAATGGAACAGACTTTTCCGGTGGCTGCACCAGAGTGGAAAGCGCCTTCACACTTTTGTTCGCTTCAAATTTTTCAATTAAAGACTTCGAGGTTTAAATAGCAAGTACAGAAGCATACAAAGCACTGATACGTCGACACAGTGACTTTTTATAGCCCATGACGGCAGGGACCTTATACAAACCACAACGCAGTTAAAACTTCCCAAAACAAAGGGTTTAATGAGTCGTACAAGGGCTCTGCACGAGTTGTAAGTCTTTGTACATTTCTTAGCTAACTTATCCAAAACAAACAAGTACATACGGGGGCTTTCTTTTTGTTGGAATTAAACGCCTTCTTGACGAATTTAAGTTAGTATTTATCGACCGACAAGTGGCAAAATATTAATCCATTTTCGAATACACGTCGCCGTCATCTTTGTCTGGAATAATTGGTCTGATCGCGGCCAAAAGAACTAGAGCTCAATAGAAAATTGCGGATTTACATAATTTCCGGAAAAGAGGACAAGCTCTTGAGGTGTACACTGGAAATTTTCGTTCCATTTGATTTTCACTCCGGAATTTCCTGAATTTTCGGTTGAATGGTTCGCTTTTCGGAAATTGAACAATTTCCGGATTTTCTGGAACTATTCCTAAGAAATTTCCTTACCATTTGACCCCGTTTCGAAAATTTCGGAATTTTTGGTCGAATGGTAAGCGTCCTATATTTTAGCAAACAGATAAAATTTTTCACCCAGTTACTTTTCGATCGCGGAAATGGGTAACAGTTATTGCTCTCAGGGCTCTAGCTCAGACCGCTCAATCTGGACTACATCGTACTAGTCATTGGGCCACCGTGTCGTAAATCCTCGAATATGCGTCGTATCTGCCACATTAGGGAGTTTAAGAAACCAGGACGCGACGCCGAGGACAACGTCGATTAAAAAATGCTTTTATATTTTACCTGCGAATCTCGCGATACTCTCAAGTCACTTTCCTTTGTTTCTTAGCGTCAAAACTATCACGAAAATGATTCTGGGACAGGGCGAAACATTTGAAATAAAACTAAAAAAATTAGCCGTCGTGGTTCACGTTCTCTGGACAACGCAGAATTTGATTATTTCACGTTGTTGTTTTGCAGA